AGAAGGGGCAATACAATATTACACCATTTTGTACGTAGAAGACAAATGCTCTGAAATAGGAGTATATATATAAATTTCTGACTGTATATGAGAATTGCTAAGAAATTTCTGGAAAATGTTCATAGCTAAATGAATGCGACCCATACCCTGCAACTGCAACACCAATGTTTATTGCTTTTTCTTAATTGGATTTTGGGGAGAGATAATACATATATATATTAGGAGGCTAGGAGCTCTTATACATGCACATATGTATATATGTTGACTGTCGCATATTGACTACTAAAATATTACTCTTATTACATTTTTTATTATATGCGTACCACATCTCTTACTCTCTAAGACCATCTCCAACCCTGGGCTAAAAGCCAAATTACCCCCCAAATTACCCTCCCAAACACTCTCCAACCCATGCTAAAATTTTAGGCTAAATGCCAAATGCTATTTCTGGGCCAAATACCCCCCAGCTTTCCCCCCGGGCTAAATGCGAAATGTTTATCGGAATTTAAATTTTTTTAGATTAAAATGTTCATAAAATTAATTTACAATAATCTACATATTTATTTTTTTAAAAACAATTGATTTAAGAAAAAAATTTAGGCTAATTTCATTCTTTAATAATTCCGGGCTAAAATTTTAGGGTAGAAGGGTTGGAGCAGAAAAGATGTTTCTGGGCTAAAAGCTAAATTTTCCGGGCTAAAAAATTTGGCTTTTAGCCCAAGGGTTGGAGATGGTCTAATAGAGTTCTCGAATGAAAATGCGATTTACATGTGTTTGTGATGATTGCAGATCACCTAAGTGGTCCAAGGACCACATGGAGTCTGAGAAATATACAAGTGAAGGTCCTTTGAGGACCCTTTGAATGTTTGTTACCGGTCTTTTTTGTGTCCACCAAGTATTTCAAGAAATGCCTCTCGCATGTTGCGTCAACAACACTCTTCAAATTCTATCAATATCACTCATCATATTGTGTCGTCATATGTCAATATTTATTGACAATGAAATGTTAGCAACTTGGTTTGGTTGACAATAACAAGTTCATCAATAAGCCATTACAATTGCCACTGAAAAACTAAGCCCATTGAAGGCAAAAAAATGAATGATAAGTGTTCAACGAAATGTCTCAGTGAATAAACAAAATTTCTTTTATGCGCTAAATTTTATCTAAAAAACTTGAACCTTTAACATTGGACTCTTCTAAGATTCAATTCCTGAATCTACCATTGGTTGATAGGCAGTACAAATATGATAATGTACGTTAATATATTGACTAAAGTTTGATATCAAATATTCTCAATATCATGCATGTTGTATTTTTAATATTACACCCATCAACTTCGATTAATTTTTTTAATACCATTAACACCTTACTCTCTTCTTCATTTTTTTTAAAAATAATTAATTGATAAGGATGTCTCAAAAAATAAGAAAATTATTTACACTTTAAAATTTCATTTTGTACTCTTAAAAAGATTTCTAATAATTCAGCTGTCCAAGGAAATATATTTAAATTTCTTTTCTTTTGAAAGATTGTCAAAAAATAATAATTGTGCGACAAGCTTTTCTGTTTCCAATCGAATTGTGACCATTTCTTTTGGTCGACACATTGTGATCATGAAAGCCAATTATATATATGCATGGTGCTCTTTCACGTGTACTGACGCCATTGCCGAGCCAAGAAGTTTTGTCTAATGAAAACATTGTTACGGGAATCTGGTAATAAAAATTTTACGTGTTATTACACGAGTAGATATTGGATGACATGACAAATATATCAGTGTACGTCGATCTTAAATAGATGTGTTGTAATTTGAACAAAATAGTAACGTCATAAGATATTAACAAAAAGAGCCAATAAAACAATGTATGTTGGTGTTTTTATTAGTCGAGCGTGTATATACATGATTATTTTTTACCTCTGAACTAAAACGTTGTTTATGATTTTACGTACTTAGTAGGCTGGTAGAACTTATGTGGTATATAAAAAGATAAGAATGTTAAGAAATTCTCTCAAAATAAAACTCTTCATAAACTATCTGTGACATTATAATTTAATGTCAACTTTTGTACTAACATTACAAAATATTACACCACAAACCGTGAGGTTTTAAAAAGTTCATAAAGAATCTTGCTTCTCACATAAAAATTGAAAGGAAAAAAACAAAAACTGGAAGATGGAGGTTCGTGGAGTTTTGGAATTGTGTACGTATATGCTGGAGTAAGCTCCACGTGGGATTTGTATTATCATCTTTTTGACTTGTTTTTGTTTCATTTCCACGCCGCCAATAAAACACGTGATCTCATCCCCAGAAAATATATATAATAATTTACCAATTTCTCCGGTCCGGACAATTATTATGTAAAAACGAATAGGATCCTCTATGGATTATTTTTGTAGAGATCTAAAGAATCAATCAATTATGTTCGTTCATCTTATATCGTACGGTTATAAATTATTTTTAATTTTTAATTTTAAATTAAATATAAATTGTACCTAACGAAAACTAACTTCATGATATACGATGAACGGACACAATTGATTAGTTCTCGAATTCCCACAAAGAGGATCAGGAGAAGATCATTGTCCATGTAGAAAGATACTATTTTCAGTACAGCTTGCAATTTGCAACACAAATGTATTTTAGCTGAAAAAAAATAATATATGTCCTTAGCATAATATATAAATATATATATTTTTCAGCTAAAATGCATTTGTATATATTTGTAAATTTTTTTTTTCAGCTAAAATACATTTGTATATATGGTTCATTTGACAAGAGGGATTCTTATTCTTCAAAATAAAGGTCACCTTCTTGACCGTTAGATTGACTTTAATGAAATTGTATTGTTGAGATTAAATCACATGCCACACAATCTCAACAACACAATTTTATTAAAACCAATCTTTCATTAAAACCAATCTAACGATTAAGAGTGTGTCTCCATTTTTTTAGAAAAATAAGAATCCCTTGTTAAAGGATATATATATAAAAGTGTGTCACATAAGAATATAGGACAGATATGTCATGATACAAAAGGTACGAAAAATAAAAAGAAAAAGGTGGTGTTAGCAAGAAGGTCCCATCAAATACTTTGCCTTCACAAATATATGGAACCCACTTCTTTCATTTTTAAGCAAATAAGTGGTGCTTGCTCAAGGAGAATGAGAACCTTACATGCACAAGATAATCTGGTTTCGAGAGGTCTAAAATTTGACTCATATATATTTACATATAATGGCGTAGGTATCTATATAAGTCCAATATCAAATTGTGACGTGAATGTGTTAAATGAGAGATTTTTCAGTGTATCCGTAATATAACAACATACCATATGCTATTAAACAAGTAGAGATAAATTTGTAGACGTCCATATTTCGAGAACATTGAAGAATCTTTCTTTCAAAGGAGGCGAAGTAGAAGTATTTTCGGTAGATGTCCTCTCATTTGACAAAGTAGAAAAATAAATGTTATAAATATCGCCAATATTGTTGTGACAGTCGCCTACTTAACCGTAAAAAATTATCTCTACAAAAACTCAAAGATATTGAAAAAGACCACAAATTAGTGTCACCCAACTTGTTTTTTGGTCCAACAAATAGTTGAGAGGTTAGGACAGCTACACCCTTCCCATATGGGACCAATTATTCAAATCGGCATCACAACTGGGGATCTCTATGCATTTTCCTTATTTAAGGAGAAAGTTAATGTTACCTGGCGTCGGTCGCGTTTGTTTGCCGAGAAATATTAAGGGGGAATCTTCTCGTTCTGGTACAATATTTTATAAGAAGGTTTAACGAAAAGTCTGCGGTATTGTTCACTTTAATAAAAAACTACATTTTTACATTAAAAATTCAAACTTGATACTATTCATTTTACCTTTTATTTTGTCCTTATCATTAAAACTCAAAGTTTTCAAACATTTTTCATTAGTTTTCCTTATTTTATAACGATGACATAAAATTGATGTTAAATTGTAATAAAACAACAATAAAGCCTTTTCCCACTAAGTGGGGTCGGCTATGATGTTAAATTGTAATGTGACAGAAAAATTCTTTAAAAATCTCACTATTGATGCTAAATAGTATGGTAACAAAGAATTTATAAAGAGTTTCATTTGAGAAACGCTCTTTTAGCATTTCTCATTTGCTAAGGATGATTAACAATCCCATCCAAGCTGCGCCATAACATGTTTCCACTGGACATTGCTCCCAACAAAATCATCACTATTATTAAGTTCACTTAGTACTTGTTTGTTACTGAGGTGCTTTTATTAAAATGAATATAAAAAAAAGATGAGCACAAAAAGTTGTTTGGTAAACATTTAAAAACAACTTATTTTCACAATTTTGGGTGAAAAAAGGTTGAAAACGTGAAGCAGCAAAAGTAAGTTTATTCTCACAGCACAGCAGAAACAATTTTTTTCCAAAGCACAATAATACCAAACCAGCCCTTAGTCTACTACTCGACTAAAAGTCCTCCGTTAATGTCGAACTTTCGGCCATCAATCAAACGCTTTCGCAATTAATTTATTATTCATATCTGAATTCGTAACCATACTGTCGTATTAAAAAAGATTACATAAAAAATTGTTGATAACTTGATATTTTCTATTTCGTTTTGTTTAACTAAATAGAAAAAAGACCAAGGGGATGATAAAAAATGAAGGTTGTCGTAAGCAAGAAAGAGCAATGCAGATCACAAATATTATAAAAATGGGATTAGATAAACCCTTAATTAATGAAAGAAACTTGAAAACTTTGAGTTTTAATAATAAGAACAAAATAAATGGTAAAATAAATAGTACCAAGATTGACTTTTTAGTGTAAAAATATGATTTTTTGTTAAAGTAAACACAGAATTTTTCGTTAAAATTTCTTTAAAAAAAAAACAAAAAAAAAAGGTAAAAAAAGAAAGAAAAAAAAGATTTGGACGCGTGCATATGCCCAGTGGCGCCTCTCTCTCTCTCATATCGTTTATAAATTCACAAGTAGCAGCCACAGTTGGCAAATTGTAACGTTGAAAACTATACAAGGAAAGCTCTTGAATTTAGAGAGAGAGGGAGAGGAGAGAGAGGAGAGAGAGACGGGTGAGTTGCTCGGCCCCATATCGACGGAAGCTGAGAAAACTAGGAATTTTTTACAGTTTTACGATAAAGATTTGTATTTGGAGACAGGCAGAAAGAGTTAATCTTCAAAAGCATTAATATAAACACCTCACGTAATTTACTCTTTGCAATTGCACTCTCTCCTCGCAGGTCAGCTCTCGTTTTTCTGTCCAAAGTTTTATTTTTTATCACTTTTTTTCTTCATGTTCTTGAATCAAGATTGATGCTTTTTTCGACTTCTGGGCCGTTTGTTGAGTAAATGGAACTGGGTTCTGCTCGTTTTTTGTTTTTTGTTCGTAATTGTGTTGGTTTTCATTTGGGTTTTGTTTGGTTGCCGAGAAAATCCGGGAAAATTGAACACCGTTTTTTTGGTTGCTACTGGTGAATATTCCTAGTGATTAGATTTTGCGTATGTTTTTCTACTTTAAGGTTAAAATAATCTAAACTGTGGAGAGGGGGATTCGAATTTGTTTGCATAGTGAAGCACATCCGCTCTAGTCAAAGCAGCTACGCTCACGCGTGCCAATCACCTTTTTATGTTGGTCAATGAATGGTTTAAGTTTCTGGATGAAAATTGAAAGCACGATGCCGATGAGCATATTTTTGACATGAGAAAGACAATTTAATGCAATGCTGAATGTCATGATTTTTACGTTGGTTAATTCTAGAGAGACTATCTATTTAAACCATGTTTCGTAATTATTTGATGACGATTGGTTCACAAAATGCTATAATCTATGTGGTCCCTAGCAACGAAACCGATGTTTGTGTTCTGAGATAATAATGCTCAAACATTTTCTCAGCAAGAACAGTAAGAGTTAGACAGTCTGGACTTTGTTCTTTATAAGGTTTTACTTTTGAGATCACTTGTAGCGTAACTAGCACTCAGATTTCAAGGTAGTACTGCTAAATTTCGAGTTAGCGCCACAGATATCTTGGACCGTGAAAAACAAATAACTATTTTATTCGGGTTGCAGCGTTTTTTCACATTTGTTTTTGCATTTGAAAACTCTCTTCTGGATTCATGTATGTAACGTATGTATATTTTTGTTTCCAATAGGTAGATTCTTTTTCGTTAAAGTTCCCTATAAATAATAGGTAATTCCTAATTGCTTAGGGCCCCCGGGGGAGGTCAGATCTGCATTAAATATCAAGCACATTACTGGCAATGAAGTGTGTGCGCGCTTGAAGTGTTTTGAACAAGTTGTGCATTTTCGAGTCTGATAAAATATTATTGACCGAGTGCCATTCTATTGCGATTTGCTGCTAAATTGTTTATATTTGAAAAGTTGAAGATCTTAGCCATCCGTTGTTTTGTCTTGCTGATTGTTCAGGAACTCTGTGAGTGAATTATGTTGGTTTATTAATGGGCTGCTATTGTTCGAAGGAAGCTAAAACGCCTGGCTATGAGGACCCTGCGACTCTTGCTGCTGCAACACCTTGTAAGCGTGCTTTTTCACCCTTCTACTCTGCTGCAGCTTTTTCGTCTACATCTTCGTACTTCCACTCGTAAACAATCAGTCATTTTTTTCCATTAAAGCTGCTTTTGAAGTGATAACAATCTTAGTCATCCATCACTTTTTCATACTGAACTGATAATTTGAGATCAACATGGATGCTGCAAAAGATATTGATCCCGTATTCTGTCTCCTGATCGTTAGAGATTGGATATTAAGTTACCTAAATGGAGAGTTGTAAATTTGAATGGAATTTTTCTTAGTTGCAGTTACTGTGAATGAAGTAGAAGCCTTGTACGAGCTTTTTAAGAAATTGAGCAGTTCGATAATTGATGACGGACTTATCCACAAGGTAGGTTTGCTAAAACTTTCAAGATTGGTTTACCTTCACTTATATCCTCTCTTACCAATCAAATATTTTAGGTACCAAATATAAGTTATCACCTTAAAATTTCGGGTGTTTATGTTCAACCGAATGGTAATATTCTGTCATCTATCTTTTTTGAGCAGGAAGAATTTCAGCTCGCGCTCTTCAGGAACAAAAATCAAAGGAATCTTTTTGCAGACAGGGTGTGTGATGCCGATTCCTCTTCTCTATTCTCTGAGATTATTTTAGTTCATTCATGCTACAAGGAGTGTGATGATGGGGCAATATGGGGAGGGAGACTGATGTTCATTTTACGTGTGGAAAATCTCGTGTGTGTTTATTAGTAAGTAAACGCTGGTAATTGTTCTTTATCTACAACACATTAAACTTTGGGTGTTCATGTAGATTTTTGACTTATTTGATGTCAAGCGCAATGGGGTTATTGAGTTTGGAGAATTTGTTCGATCATTAGGTGTCTTTCACCCCGATGCACCTGTAGAAGACAAAATTTCATGTAAGAACATTACCCTTATCCCCTACACATCAAACTGCAATCTTCTGCAAGATTATCTTCAATTTTATCTATCTGGAAAAAGAAATAAAATTGAAGACATATTACTAAAATGTATAAGTGTTGTCATTTGCTAAGTTACTGTGGGAATTGTTTTGCAGTTGCTTTTAGACTGTATGATCTGAGACAAACAGGGTACATTGAGCGAGAGGAGGTCGGTTTCTTACAAACTTCTTTGTTTTTATCTCCTTCTCTTACAGTTTGATCTCTCTACATGAAAATCTCCTCTCATAACCAAGGTAATAATATTCCATGACAGTTGAAGGAGATGGTGGTGGCACTTTTGCACGAATCTGATCTGGTACTCTCGGATGATGTCATTGAAATGATTGTGGATAAGGTGCGAATTCATATACATATTGTGACCCATACTCTTCTTCGTTCAGTTAGCTGAATGTTCTTAAGTTCTTTGTCTTTTTTTTTCCGCAGACATATAGTGATGCAGATAAGAAAGGTGATGGGCGGATTGATGAAGAAGAGTGGAAGGAATTTGTGTCGAAGCATCCGAATATGATAAAGAATATGACTCTCCCGTACTTAAAGTAGGCAACATAATTAACTTGAAGTTTGTCAGTCATTAGATACAAAACTCGGGTTTGAATTGTAAAAGTTATCTACATCGTTTAGGAACACGTTTTTTACTGTCACTACCTCTACGTGTTTCTTATTTCCGTTCTTTTTCTTACCATTTTGCAGAGATATAACATTAGCGTTTCCTAGCTTTGTGATGACTTCTGAAGTCGAGGATTCAGAAATGTGAGAGTATTACATGAAAAATGCTCATGTGCCAAGATAGAAACCTCGAGTTTAAGATGAAGTTGCGAAGAACTGCTGACGAATTAAGTCATTCCTCGAGTTGCAGTCATTCCATCCTCAATGTCTCAACTGGTTCTTCAAATCTAGGGCTGGCAAAGATAAGTGTAGTCTGTTCATATATGTGCAGTCACGTTGTCGTTTGGATCCTTTTTGTTTTCTGTTCTCCCTTTGTAATGTTTCTCCTACATCAAATGTTCCGTGATAAGATTTTTCGTAGAGTTATGTACGGTCCTTCGATGCGAAATTGATTGTTCTAATTACTTCAAGCATAAGCATAGCTAATAAGTTGAAGAAGTATGCTCTTAGTTTGAACTTTTATAAACACCCGGAGTGACATAGTCAGATGTGCATAAGAGCGACTGTCCTTAACATTCTCGCGTTTAGTTTACTAACCATATATGTGAAGGAGTTGAGAGTCCTTGTCTGTTGTTGTCATCTAAAGACATCTAAACACCAGAAAAAGGAGTTGGTTGAGGAAGACTCAAGGAACCTAATGGAAATGGGAGCTACCATAAATGTGCACACACAAAAACGTATGTGAGCTTCGAATTGAGAGGTTAAACAAATTGGTTAGAGCAGTGCGTCAACTCGTACAAGCATCCAATTTTTTAGACAAAATAACCCTTAAAAATTAAAAGATATTAGTTCATTCATGATTCACAAAAAGAAACATTACAAAAGTAGGTGGTAATTAGGTTCGGAAAATATAATAATACAATAACTCATACTTCTCACCCCAAAACAGAATGCAGACAAACAATGTTGACCTTGTATCTATCGATTCTATGTTTATACAAGTTTCGAGTTGTTTTAGTCCGGAATTGTAACACCTAATACAAACTATAACACCAATCTTAATTAACCAATTAGTAAAAAAAACCAATGGTAAGTTCTTTTGGCTGTGATCGCTTTCTTCTTGCCACTTAAATTACGATCTAATAGTAGTTTTATTCATTTGTAAATAAAAAGTTTTAGGTTCGAATCTCGTGATTGACAAGAATATTTTGCAATAGGATTTTGGCACTCCATTCACATTTATGTAGCGAAGTGATTAGTATGTAGCATGATGATATTAAAGACTTCGTAATACACTTTACTTAAATCTTTTTTGTCATTCCGCCACATGATTTTAACACTCCATTCACGTTATAAGGTATACATATCATACTTTATATGCACGAAAAATATATCACGGTTGTCTGCACCATACATTTAGATTAATAGTATCACATAACAGAGAGATAGCGACAAATTTTTCTACTATCCCCGTAACTATGACATAGCCATGAATTTTTCTAAATCGTGTGTGTTTTTTGTTCTTCATCAACATAGCGCATGCACCGTACCAAAAAAAATAAAGGAATATTAACGAAAATAACTTAAAAACTTTGAGTTTTAACAATAAGAACAAAATAAAGGGTAAAGTAAATAATATCATGATTGATTTTTTAATGTAAAAATGTGGTTTTTCGTTAAAGTTTCCAAAAGGTAAACCAGATCTATTTGTTGTTAATTGGTTGTTAATAAAAATTGATTAAGCATGATTAAGCAAAACAAGATAGAAACATCACAGCCTTCTTCAACCGTGGTTTCCTAATTAACATTTTCAACGCACATAGTGCTCACATCTCCACATCTCTCTCTCTCTCTCTCTCTCTCTCTCTCTCTCTCTCTGAAGAAACAAATCGATTCAGTGATTCCAAAGAATCGAACTTTCTGGGAATTCCAAAACGATTCTCTCGTTTTTCCCAGGAATCCAAAACCCCACAACTTTTTATTGCTTCCGAGCTTTCATGGCCGATCATTTTCACAGGTTCTGCTCCACCATTTATTTCAAGTTCTTCACTTTTTATTGTTTATTTGATTTCATTTTTTTCATTGATTGATAAATTATTTTCTTTTTTTGTTTGTCTTTGTTGGGTGGAGGTGCAGTGTGGTAGCATTTGATCGGATCCAGTGGATGCTCTCCTGCAGTGACAACAAGGAGCTGGTTATTGGGATTTCTTAGAAGGTAATAGTTTGTAATTAATTACATGTTTTAATCTTAATTTTGCTTTAATTGATGAGAAAGTTGTGTTGAAGTAAAAGGATTAAATTTTTATTAATGGGTTTGGGATTTTGATTTTGAATTGCTAATTGTGGGTTTGATTGGTGAGGAATTTTTGTTTTGATTGATTGCTTTTGTAATTTTTGTTGATTAAATGGATTTTAATTGATGGCTACTTTTTGGTGGTTAGATTGATCTCCTGTGATTGTTCAATCAGTACCGATACTATTTGTAATGCAACCAGTTGATGAGGATCATAAGAAGAAGAATTTAAAGCGTTCGAGATCATTTACTTTCGACATGCCTGTGACCGACCCTAATTTGACACAAAGTCTTGATGACTGTGTTCTTTTCCCACTTGAAGAGATTGTGCAATACCCGTTGCCGGGATACATTGCTCCCACTTCAATCAGTTTCAGTCCCGATGATACTATTATAACTTATTTGTTCAGTCCTGATCACACATTGAATCGAAAGGTATTTGCTTTCGATCTCAAAACTGGCAAGCAAGAGTTGTGTTTCAGTCCCCCTGATGGCGGACTTGACGAGAGTAATATATCACCGGAGGAAAAGTTGAGGAGAGAGAGGTTGAGGGAGCGCGGGTTGGGAGTGACACGGTATGAATGGGTGAAGACAAGCTCGAAAAGGAAAGCAATCATGGTGCCATTGCCAGCTGGGGTGTGTTCTTTAATCCCTGGGTGCAATCAAACATCCATATACATGTACATAATTGTATTTTAATTTTTACAGATTGAGTTCTCACTGATGATATGGTCCTTGCTTTATGTACAGATTTATTTCCAGGATCTTTCTAGTTCAAATGCCGAGCTTAATCTTCCGAGGACATCAGGTTCACCAATTATTGATCCACATCTGTCACCAGATGGTACAATGCTCGGTTATGTAAGAGATTGCGAGTTGCACGTTCTTAATTTGTTATACAATGAATCTATACAGTTAACGTATGGTGCCAGAGGAGATGTTTTGGTAAGTTTTCTATACCGGTAAACGTAGGTTTGGATTAACTGAGCCACTTCAGTAATATTAGTACTACTCTAAAATATTTCTGTTACAATGAGTACTGTTTTAGTGATAGGAGCTTAAGATAACATCCTTATGACTTTTCCTCTGTCAAAAATTTTAAGACAAAGACAAAGTAAATTCTAAAGGTAGTCGAATTTCTGATCATTTTGTTCATGTGAATCTGGTCTTTTTTGTGTTGCAGACGCATGGCCTTGCTGAATATATAGCTCAGGTGAGAAGTTCATGTAATAACCTATTTTTATTTAGATTAATTTTTTTTTCTTTAGAAATTTCTCAGGAGGTTTAGTTAAAACTATTCTTCGATTCTCTGAATTTTACTCATTACAGGAAGAAATGGACCGCAAGAATGGGTACTGGTGGTCTCTAGACAGCAAATTCATTGCATTCACAGAAGTTGATTCTTCTGAGATTCCGCTTTTCAGAATCATGCATCAAGGTAAAAGCTCTGTTGGTTCAGAAGCTCAAGAAGATCATGCCTATCCCTTTGCGGGAGCTTCAAATGTCAAAGTTCGCCTAGGCGTGGTTTCTTCTGCTGGAGGCCCTATTACTTGGATGGATCTTCTGTGTGGGGGAACAGGTCAACCAGATAGTGAGGACGAATATCTGGCAAGAGTAAATTGGATGCATGGAGATACTTTAATAGCTCAGGTTATGAACAGGTCACACAGCAGACTAAAGATCCTTAAATTCGATATTAAAACTGGGAAGCGAACAGTTTTATTGGAAGAAGAACAAGGAACATGGGTTAGCTTACATGACTGCTTCACACCTCTGGACCGAGGAATAACCAAATTTTCGGGGGGATTTATCTGGGCGAGTGAGAAAACAGGATTTAAACATCTTTATTTGCATGATGCCAATGGAACATGTTTAGGACCTATCACCGAAGGTGACTGGATGGTTGAGCAGATTGCTGGGGTAAATGAAGCTGCCGGACTTGTTTACTTTACTGGAACCTTAGACGGGCCTTTAGAATCACACCTTTATTGTGCTAAGCTACTCACGGATGGAAACCAACCCTTGCAAGCTCCAGTGAGGTTGACTTGTAGCAAGGGGAAGCATGCGGTGGTGCTTGATCATCATATGAAGAACTTTGTTGATATACATGACTCCCTTGATTCTCCCCCTAAAGTTATACTGTGCTCCTTGCACGATGGAAGCTATATTATGCCTCTGTATGAGCCGTCATTAACGGTTCCAAGATTCAAAAAGCTTCAACTTGAGCCACCGGAGTTAGTTCATTTGCAGGCTAATGATGGAACAACATTGTATGCAGCTCTATACAAGCCTGATGAAACAAGATTTGGACCTCCTCCTTACAAAACTTTGATCAGCGTGTATGGTGGACCGAGCGTGCAGCTCGTCTCTGATTCTTGGATTAATACAGTTGACATGAAAGCGCAGTTTCTCAGAAGCAGAGGCATCTTAGTATGGAAGGTGGGTATCCGTCTGTGAAAACTTTACCATTCCGGGTTTTCTATTTTTTCTAAATTTTATTCTAACTGGCAATTTTTCATGTTTACAGTTAGATAATAGAGGAACTGCCCGGCGTGGGCTGAAGTTCGAAGGCTCTTTAAAATACAATTGTGGTCAGGTTGATGCCGACGACCAACTGACTGGAGCCGACTGGCTTATAGAAAAAGGGTTAGCACGAGCAGGTCACATTGGATTGTATGGTTGGAGCTATGGCGGATATCTTTCAGCCATGACTCTTGCCAGGTTTCCTGATGTCTTCCGGTGTGCAGTGTCCGGCGCCCCTGTTACATCATGGGATGGGTATGACACATTCTATACCGAGAAATACATGGGCCTGCCTTCTGAGAACGAGGAAGGATACGAGTCTAGCTCCGTGATGCACCATGTGCACAAGATGAAAGGAAAGTTGTTACTTGTCCATGGCATGATCGATGAAAATGTTCATTTCAGGCATACTGCCAGGCTTGTCAATGCACTTGTTGCGGCTGGAAAGACTTACGAGCTATTAATTTTTCCAGACGAACGCCACATGCCACGGCGTCATAGGGATCGGATTTACATGGAAGAGAGAATCTGGGAGTTCATAGAAAGAAGCTTGTGAAAAATGAACCACCTGTTTATATCTTGTAAAATTTTCTTGTTGGTACCCTTTTTCGTTCTTCCAATTTTTATTGGTTGTTCTGTTCTAATTCTATCAGTGATAAATAAATTTCTTTTTCTTGAAGTGCAAGAAACTGAAACTACTGTCAAACAATCAACAGCAGAACTTGAAAATTTTCTCTAAACTTCTTTAAATCTCGAAAGTTAAATTTAATCACGGTTCTTATAGGGGAAAATAAATTCATTAAAACAAGAAACAAAAGAGCTTGAAGTTCAAGTGTTACGCTTTTTTGTGTCCCTGAACTTTCAGGGTCAGATTTGCGCTTTCTTTCACCGGGAATGAGAGGCAAGCCCCTGGGAAGATCAGAACTGTTCGACAGTGGCAAATCCGCTCGCTGGATCGCTTGTCTGACCCGGATGAACGTGACCGCTGAGGACAAGGTAGGGTTTTCGCAACTGAGCTTGAGCTTCCCTCACTGTCTCCATGGACTGTAATGGCGTGTCTGAACTACTCATCTGCTTCAGTTTCTGTTCCTTCTCGAATTGCTTCCTGCACTTTTCTTGCTTCCTTTTGCCAGGCCCCTTCCTGTGGAATGCGTGCGAAAGTCTGTTATACGCTTCCTTTTGCGTCATAGGCCGACCTAATTCATCAGTCATCCGAACTGCATCCGTATCATGTTTTACTTCAAGGCTTCCTCGCTCTTTCAGCAGCTTCAGAGCACCCGATAAGCCTTTCCCAACCGCGAAAAATTCCATCTGAAACGCCCTTCTCCTCCTTATGGTCCTCTGCAGGAGGATTAATGTGTTCTTTGTCTTCGCGATCAATTCCATCGTTTACTTCAGTCCATCCACCAGCCACATTCACCATAGTTTCTTCAGCATGATCATCTTCTTACATATTGGAAACATCTTCGCTTTCAGGATCCATGTGGGATTGACTTTGATCAAGCTTGAGACCCACCAAAAACTCATTCGTTCTGTGATGACAACCTTCTTTTCTCCGGAATGATCTTCACTGCTTGAGGGGATTCGATTCCGATCATCATCTGCTGCATTTTGAATCTGACTTCTGCCAGTGCTGGTGGTGGCAAGGAATGCAATTGCTTCTGGACCACCGGATGCTTTCTCCTCCTTTTCGTCATTTGTTCTAAGAGCCGATTTTCTTGCTCTCTCCAAGGACATGTAGAGATCCTCCTCCTCATCATCTGCAGAGATAACATTAAATTCATTATATTCCTGATCAGCTTTAACAGAAAACACTTTTTGTTCAAGCAGTTGCAACGATTTAGATGCCTCGTCTGCTTTCGCATATGCTACCTTGTAGATGTTGTCTCTCCTTTCAGATTCCAATCTTTCTTTCTCCTCTCTGACTCCCTGCCTATGTGCACCATTCCGAGAACCAAGATCAGCAGCACCAAGCCCTGCCGAGACTGCTTCTGCTTCAAGGGCATCCACATCTAGTTTCTGCTTCTTCCGGAATGATTTCTTATTCTTTGGCTTCTTAAAATTAACCTTCATTTCTTACTGAGTACAGAAATCAGATGTTCATTTTTCTAGAGATATTGCTGAAGTCTTCAACCAACTTTATCCCCCTATGGAGCTCTTCAAGCTGCACGAGCTATTTGAATTTATTTGCTGCTTCACTACTAAACCGCTCTCTTTCATCTAGGGTTAACCCCTCAGCAGGAACAGGATCATCATATTGTGGAAAAAATTTCTTCTCTAAACCATTAGGGTTTGCCACGGACTATCTCGGACTGGACTAGCTTTAGGGACTAAGCTGGACTGGCTTGGCTTGGACTACGCAGGATAAGAATAGTGAAGTGTTTGATACAGTATTGGACTAAAATATTTTAGGACTCAAATCGTTTTTTTTTTCATTTTTAATCCACACTTACTTAACAAAAGAAAAACTAAAAAAATTCAGTTTCAAAAAAAAAAAAAAAAAAAAAAACTAAAAACTAATAAAAAAATAAATAATAAAAGATCAAATCCAGTAGAACACCACCGTTTTATCCTCTCTCTCCTCCAAAATTGACGAAACCGGAATTTGACAATTTGTTCCATCGTCTTCAATCTTCATCTGGGCAGTGCTATTTCAGCCCTCCCATGCGCCGACCCACTCACCCATCAGAAATAGGACACAATTGTCAAGCTACCAAGGCCGAGCTTCAACAAGAGCTTTGAAAATTTTTATCGGAATTTCTTGACTGCATCCAATGGGCACAACATCAGCATGGAAAAAAAGGGACAGCCAGATGGTTCTTCTTCAATTCAAGAGAAATAATTATCATTTTTTAAGGCAAATTGACCAAGTTCATGAGCAGCTCTAATTACCAAGTTCATCCCCCAATTCCCATATTGATCCGAGAGAGAAAGGAGACTTGTTCTGGAAGCGCACCGGAGGATCAATAGCTTTGACGAAGAACAACGGTTCGCTCCCACCAATTCACGCGAAAGAGACGGCGAGGGAAGCAGCGTATTGAGGTTCTTAGCAATCCCATGCTTTTGGGTCGGACTAATTAGGACGACTTAACGAGGCTGGTAGTCCATGCGAGTCCGGGCTAGTCCCATTTAACTTAGTCCATAACAATGCCAAACGTGGGTTATTAATCTTAGCTAGTCCAATCCTAGCTAAGGAGGTCAAACAAACGAGCTTAAAGTACTAATCATGATCGTAAATCCCTGCTTTTCTCTTCGCTGCCTTGTAAGCCTCTTCGCGCTGCTTCTGCTCTCCAATCTCTACATTCTCAAGCACATCAACCTTTTAATATTGTCACCGCCATCAGCAAGAACGCTCTGATCTTTGAGTGTCAAAACAACTTCCCCGCCTTGCATTACTATTTCGATTCCATGAACAACTTTAACTCCGGCTAGGTGATTACAATATCATCCTCATCCTCATCTTCTTCACTAATTTCTCCAACATTGTCCAGTTCCTAAAAAACTATTGAAATTATGGATGGGTTGTATGTATGAGTTGTCATCCTTACCATAGCTTGTCATTCACCTTACATCAACCTTTCTCCATAGCTTGTCATTCACCAATCACTTTCCATGGCTTGTCATTCACCTTAGATCAACCTTTCTTAGTTGCTTGTAAAAGCTTATTTACTTGTAATTTGATTTTTGCTTTTTCACTTGTTATGGCAGATTTTAGGGATTGTGTTTGTGTAGTTATCCTACAATCTATTGTAGCTTTCTTTTAGCTCTCTATAAGAGTTGCCTTCATTCTCTTGTAATCTTCATAATGAAATATACAACAAATATTGAAACCAAAACTCAACATGGTATCAGAGTAGGAACCATAGGGTCCTGACTTTGTTAATTTTTTTTACTTCTTCATTTGCTCATCATCGATAGAGATGGCAGAAGAAAATGTGTCTAGTGCCGACAGTGCCTCATCCTCTTCCCCAAACTTAACCCAAGGGGTTGAGAACAATCCAAATCAACGACTCTGCTCGGTGCTACCGAACGAGTTCAACTACCTTCCTTGGTCAAGAGTTGTGTCACTTGCTTTAGGAGGAAGATCGAAGTTAGGGTTTATCAATGGAAGCTCTGAGCCCCCAGAATCCACTTCACCAACTTACGATGCATGACATGCTACTAATCAGTTGGTCATGTCCTGGTTACTTAACTCCATGGAGCCAAAACTGTCTGAGCTTTTCAGCTACTCAGAGTCTTCCGTTCTCTTATGAGAGTCTGTCAAAGATATGTATGGCATCCAAAACAACTCAGTTCGCATCTTTCAACTGAAGAAGAGTGTGGCTAGTTTAAAGCAAGGTGATCACTCATTTGTTCAACACCTTGGAAGTATGAAATCCATGTGGAATGAACTCGATATGTATCGTCCACACACGACTGATTCCGCTGTGCTACTGAAGAGGGCTGATGAAGAAAAGGTGTTTCAACTCTTAGCAAGCTTGGGAGCGGAGTATGAAGACCTGCGTAGTCACTTGTTAATGACTCAAGAGCTGCCCTCTTTTACCAGTGTGTGTCATGCAGTCCAGAGAGAGGAAACTTGACGAAGAGTGATGAACGTTGAGCCAAATCCAACTCTGAAGCTAGGGTTTTCACGACAAATCACAAAGCAACTGGTGATAGAGGTGCTTGGCAAGAAAGCAGACTGGAAATGTTCTTATTGCAACATGAAGGGACATTTGAGAGAAAAATGTTGGATTCTTCATCCGGAGTTAAAGCCTAAGTTTGACAGGGAAGGCAGGATGATCAAAGATGGGAAAGGTGGAGTCACTCCAAAAGCATTTCAATCAGCTTGTTCCTTAACTGATGGGATGTCCAATTTCTCAACAAATCATGTGTCATTGATCAACGAGTTTGCTGTTTTTCTTCAAAAGAAGCAAGGAAGCACTGAACCTGATAAAATGACACTTAAAAACCCTACTGCAATGCTAGGGAAATTTGCTGGATTCTTGGTTGACTCGGAGAACACATCGAAAGGCAATATTCTAGGTATTATCAGTGCCATTTCCACTGCTCTTAATGCAAATGTTACACATGATTTTTGGATTATTGACTCTGGTGCCACTGATCATATAACTAATAAACCTTCTAGTCTCCACGATTTTCAAAGAACTATTTATCCAATTCATGTATCTGTTGCAAATGGGAAAGGGGAACCTATTCTAGGGAAAGGAAAGATTAGATTGCTAAGTGAGCATACTGATTCCACTGCTCTCTATGTACCTTATTTTCCTTTTCAGCTTTTGTCAATAGGAAAAATCACAAAAACCTTAGATTGTCTTGCCATATTTTCCCCTCACAATGTTGTGTTTCATGACCGAGTTACTCAGAAGAAGATTGGTGAAGGGTTCTTTTTGAATGGACTCTACTATCTCTCAAAAGAGTCCAATTTTGTCAAAAACCTCAGTATCAACTTAAGTCAAGTTTAGGAACACCAACTCTGGCATCAACGCCTTGCCCATCCCTCAGAACATGTGATGACCAAGTTGTTTCCCTTTTTTTGTAAAAACACACTAAAGTGTGAAACTTGTCAAATGTCAAAAGCCACTAGACTTCCTTTTGTTTCCTCTAATTCTAGAACTAGTAAACTTTTTGAGCTTATTCACTCTGATATTTGGGGTCTTTCTCGTGTAGAATCATTTGATGGGTAAAGATATTATGTTACATTTATTAATGACTATTCTAGAGTAACCTGGTTGTATCTTTTAAAACTTAAAAGTGATTTGTTTGATGCTTTTAAGAACTTTCACAACCTAATCACCAATCAATTTTCATCTAAGTTATATATGTTAAGATCAGATGATGGTACCCAGTACACTTCCAATAACATGAGTAATTACTTGAGCAATCATGGCATTTTGCATCAAACTAGCTGTGTTGGTACACCACAACAAAATGGTATGGCAGATAGAAAGAATCGAGACTTATTGGAGAAGACTCGATCACTTATGATCCAAATGAATGTTTCTAAGAAATTTTGGTCTTAAGCCCTACTCACTGCCACGTACATCATTAATAGACTGCCAACTCGGGTGTTGAATACTAAATCTCCTTTTGAAGTCATGAAGGGCAGGCCTATAAACTTGTCTCACTTCAGGATCTTTGGTTGTAATTGTTATGTGCACATTCAAGCTCTCCATCATGACAAACTCGACCCTCGAGCTGCCAAATGTGTGTTTATGGGATACGCCAGTTCTCAAAAGGGTTACAAAGTGTACAACCCTAACACGGGGAAGCTGGCAGTCTCTAAAGATGTGCGATTTGAGGAATATTCACCTTATTTCCAAAAACGGTTGGAGACTAATGCTAATATGGAAGATTTTATGGACCTATTTCCACTACCTATTCCAGTAGAAATTCATGAAGTCACTCTTGCTCATATCAACACTGATAATTCTCAACTCACTGAGAGTGTAATTGATGCAGTGCCAAGCTCCTCTGGACCATCAGAAGCTCAACCAACTCAGCAAGCTATAAGTGCACCAAGAAGAAATCTTACACGAGATAGACATCCACCAGTGAGGTTACAAGAGTATGTTACTTACACTGCAAGGTATCTTATCTCTGCAACCATTTCTTATCACAGATTCTCATCTTCTCATACTTCTTTCCTTAACAAATTGTCCCACACTTTCGAACTAAGGAATTTTCATGAAGCCACATGCATGCCTGAGTGGCAAGATGCTATGACTAAAGAGCTTCAAGCTCTGAATGACAACCAGACATGGAGTGTGGTGGGTCTTCCAAATGGCAAGAAGGTCGTGGGAAGCAGGTGGATATATAAGACCAAATTCAATTCCAATGGAAACATTGAAAGACACAAAGCACGATTAGTAGCTCAAGGTTTTACTCAAACCTATGACATTGACTATAAGGAGACATTTGCTCCTGTTGCCAAAATGAACACAGTGAGGGTATTGTTGTATGTGGCAATCAATAATGCATGGCCCTTATTCCAAATGGATGTGAAGAATGCATTTCTTCATGAGGATCTTGAAAAAGAAGTGTACATGAAGTTGCCTCCCGGTCATCCAAGAGAAAATGAACCCAACAAGGTCTGCAGACTTCAC